GAGAGAGAGAGAGAGAGAGAGAGAGAGAGAGAGAGAGAGAGAGAGAGGAGAGGAGAGAGGAGAGAGGGAGAGGAGAGAGGAAAGAGAATAAGAAAGAGAAGTTGAAAAGACAACGCGAGAGAAGAACACAAGTAGGATGAAAGGAGGAAGGGAGATCTGAAGGTCATGCCAGGTTCAAAACGGAACTTTAGCCAGGCTCAAGGTCAAAGGAGCTCGGTCAAGCAACAAGTAGGAAGAGCCGCATACATTGAGTCAACAATCATCTTCTGAGCTATCAGGAGCCTCGATCACCTTGAACATGGCAGGCAAAGAATGTTGAAAGTTGCTGGTCCTACTCGCATCCTCACGCATCCTCGTTCTGCTTCACTAGACGCACTCCCATACACGAACGGCTGAGTCAACGCTTCCTGTCTCAACGCGCTCAGCACTCTCTTCCTCCTCCCCCCCTCATCCCGTTCCTCAGCCCCTCCTCTCTCCCTCCCTCTCCTCTTGTCTTCCCCCACCATCCCTCCCCAACTCTCCTATACACTCACCCTTCCTCATTCACCCCACCATTCCAACAACCCTCCTGAAATCCTGCTCCGCTTCTCCCTCCATCCTCTCCCCCCAACCCCCACCATTTCCCATCTGCCCCCTCTCGTCTCCTCCCCCTGACCCCCGCCCACCCCCACTTCATCCTCACCAGTAGCGAGCAAGGATCCCTGCGGATCGATAGCGAGGCAGGAGACGAAGTGGTCGTGCGCGTCCGCGAGGGTCTTCAGGCATCGAGCCTGTTCGAGGTCCCAGACTCTCAAGCTCCTGGAGGACGAGGATGAGGGGCAAGGGGAGGGAGCAGCGCAAGGGAGGCTGACCGATCGTCTGAGACGGATAGGAGGAAGAGTCCTGGGGGGTACATTGTGTGAGGAGAGGAGCAATAATGTCAAGGGGGAGAAAAACCGTTGGGATGGAAGCATACGTCTCTGACCCAGTTGTCGTGACCCTGAAGAGAATCAATGAGAAACCTTGTCCGTCACACAGTGGTAGTGGGGGTGGTGGAGGAGGAGGAGAAAGGAGGAGGATGAAGAAGAGGAGGAGGAGGAGTACTGACTTGGAGGACGAGGATGCATTTCCCGCTTTCCACGTGCCATATTCGAATCGACTTGTCCCTGCTCTCTCCCTCAACAATCCTCCCCCTGCATCTCGCACGATTCACCTGCTCCCAGAAGCGATGAACGCTCCTAACAGACTACGTGCGCCTCCTCCTCGGCCCTCGGCGACGCTGTTCTCTCCCTGACCTGCCGCCCCCTCGGTAGAGGCAGCCCATTCCTCAGAGCCAGTCTTGGTCATATGTCGCATCAGGATGAGACTGGCCTGCGAGGAGGATAGGGCTGAGTTAGCCGAAGACGAGGACGGGGAACGAGGAAGGAGCTGCTGAGCTTGAGGCGAGAGGGGGGGCAGGAACCTTCTCGTTGGACAGGGCGAGGCACTCGATGACATGCTCGTGTCCTCGGAGCTCCCTGATGCTCGGAGATCCTTGGTTGACGTCCCAAACTTTGACCTGTACGGAAGTTGAGGAGCACGTTGAGTAGAAGACTCAAAGCGCAGGGCAGGGAAGGGCAGAGTAGAACATAGCCGGGCAGGGCAGGGCAGGGCAGGGCAGGGCAGGGCAGGGCAGGGCAGGGCAGGGCAGGGCAGGGCAGGGCAGGGCAGGGCAGGGCAGGGCAGGGCAGGGCAGGGCAGGGCAGGGCAGGGCAGGGCAGGGCGGCGGTTCCGTCTCTATTGACGGTAATCACCGTCTTGTCACTCGAGCAGGAGAAGCAGAGCGGTCGGACGGAGCTTGTAATGATCTCGATAAGATGTCAAGGCCTTCTTTTCGTAGGAGGAAGACAGGTTTCACCCGGCGGACCCACTCGCTGTGCCCAGTCAGAGTCTTGACGCAGTAGCCGCTCTTTGCCTGCAGGTCAACAAGTTCAGCTGTAAGGGGGGCAGAGAGGGGAAGGGCAGGGGGAGAAGATAGTGGCAGTGAAGTAGAGGGAAGCAGTTTTGAGCAACCTCCCAGACTTTGATCGTCGTGTCCCGCGAAGCAGAGATCTGCTGGAAGTGAGATTGGCGAGATGATAGAAGGAAGACGTTACGACGAGCTCGTCGGAGTTGATCCAGGCGACCTGGACGGAAGCGAATGAGGAAAGAGACATCAAGGAGAGTTGATGTCACCCCGGAAACAGAATGTTCATGTCCCCTGAGCGTCCTGAGGCACTCGTTCCTGCCATGAGCGCGGTCACATGGGAGGATTTCAGAGCTAGTTGCATACGAGTCTCCCAACTTCCAAAGCTTGACCGACAAGTCTGACGACCCGGAGGCAAGCACCTAGGTAAAACATCATCAGGTTTCGCTGCTCCGACAGCAAGTCGATCGAGGAGAACGAGGTCAAGGTGCATCGAGACTGACCGTCCCGTCGGAGTTCAACGACACGTCGTTCACGCTTGCCGTGTGCCCCTTCAACGTGCTGCTCAACCTCCCCGAGTCGAGGTCCCACAACTTGATGCTCGCATCCTCCGAGCACGTGATGACGTCCGCGAAGACCTGTCATGCCGGTCACGGTGCTTGCGATAAAGAGCAGGGGAGGGGGGGGAGACTGACGGGGTGAAAGATGACTCGTGAAAGCGGGCTCCTGTGTCCGGTCAAGGTCTTGACATGCGGAGCTCGTGGTATCTGTCTCCCCTGTTCCACCTTCCTCCGGGCCCCTCCAGGGTCTGCGCTCTTCAGCTCGGACTGCAACGAAGCTACCTGCCCCTCAAGCTCCATGACCCTCTTTTGCAGGCGGACGACTGAGGTCCATTTCTTCTCCAGCAGCCCAGCGTCCTTTGGATCGATGCTGGCAACGGACTCCTTGTCCAGTCCCGCATCGTCGATGAAAGCTTTGAGTGCACTGGTATAGCCTGCGGTGCTCAAGTAGTCCGCTATGGCTGCGTGCAGCTCTGCCTTCTGTTTCGGGGTAAGGACCATGCCGGGAGGTGAGTGGTGGAAGGGAGAGAATCCGTGTGAGTCCGTGTGATGCACACTTAAGCTCTACTATCAGTCTTGATCCGGTAGCAAGTTAAGAGGAAGTGCTCCTGATCGATCCGCACCACATTGACCAGCAAATTTGCGAGGGAGGGAGAAAGGAAACCAAGTATGTGAAGATGGGTGAAAGGAGAGAGGCAGAGAACGGAAGTGACGGAGTGAGGAGGAGGAAAGGAGGAGGAGGAAAGGAGGAGGAGGAGGAGGAGGAGGAGGAGGAGGAGGAGGAGGAGGAGGAGGAGGAGGAGGAGGAGGAGGAGGAGGAGGAGGAGGAGTAGGA